CCCCGGGGACGTCACTGCACCTGCACTGCCCCCAGGGCTGCTCCCCTAAACCTGCAGCTGCCTCCCGTCCCCACATCCTGGGGTCCACTGGAGGCTGGAGCGGGGGCAGCGGGCAGAGCAGCAGGACCTGATCTCAGAGGAGGAATGAGGGGACCCTCCTCTGTGCTAACTTCACAACCTGGTTCCCCGAAAGTTCAGGGAAAGAACATGAGGCCTGAGAACTAGGCAAGAGCAGCAGGAGCCTGAAATCCATCTCTCCACACGCGGGGTCCTGTGTGCAGGGACCTGGGCCTGTGGGACAATGACGGCAACATGTACCCTGTGTCAGATGGGGACACCCAGAGAATGAGACCAAAATTAACACACACAATAACTGGCATAATATCCACAAAACAAGAAAACAGCAAACACCTGAAGGTGGGTCCTGTGGGCCCAGGCTGATTTGAAGGCCCCCAGCAAAAGCCCTCGCTGTCCAGGGTCCTGGAGATGTGCTTCCTTAGGACAGGTGAAAAGGCCTGGGGGTGTGAGGCCCTGTGACCACAGGTCCTGGTGTGACAAGGCTCTCATGAAGGGACAAGGTCAGAGGAGCAACAAACATGACTCAGCCCAGGAGTGACCACATCAATCCCATGATGCAATGGGCGCCGAGTGGGCACAGGCCCCAACCACACCAGCTTCTCACAGCCTCTCCTGCCCCACCTGCAACAGACTCCGCAGACAGATTCTGGAAGCTTCTCTGGTTTCCTCTATACAACTTTAGAAATCTTCTCCATTTAACCCATCAACCCTTCATGGCAAGAATTTGAAAAAACACACACAAAGTAATTCACATGCACATTCTTATTTTCAACAGGGAATCAAGACATGAAAACTGGGTGCAACAGGAAGTGAAGACCCTGAGGGAGATGGCCTCACCCCAACTCTGCCAGAGCAGGAAAGACCCCAGGTGGGAGGGGCCCAGGGACCAGCGCCTACATCCTGCTGATGAGGAGACACTGATGCCAGTGGCAGACACAGCGGTCAGGGATCCTGAAGGTCCCTAAGCAGAGGCTGGAGTCCATGTTTTATCACTCGTCTGCATACTGTGCTGTGTTCATCCCAATCAACTCTCCTTCCTTCACCACCTATCCCTGCTCCATCCTCTTCCACCTCCCCATCTCCCTCCCTCTCTAGCAATCACCACCCCCTTGTCTGTGTCTATGAGGTTTCCTTTTGTTTTATCTTGTGGTTCTTTGCTTAATTCCTTCACCTTTTCACCCACTCCCACACCCTCCAAGCCCTCTGTCAGCTGTCAGTCTGTTCTCTATGAGTTTGTTATTATTTTGTTTACTGGTGTATTCTGTTCATTAGGTTCCACCTATGATTGAAATCATAGCGTATTTGTTTATCTCTGACTGGGTTAGATCACTTAGCATAGTGCTCCCCTATCCATCCATGCTGTTGCAAAGGGTAAGAGTTCCTTCTTTTCTATGACCAAGAGTAGTATTCCAGCATGTAAATGTACCACAGCTTTTTTTTTATCCACTCATGAGCTTTAAAAGTAATAATAATAGTAGTTAGCATTTATTGAGAAATTACATTTCACTTTCAAAAATAAATTACAGAATTATGCAATGGATGGAATCTGGCTTAACAATAGTTGGTGTACAAAAGCTTGAGGGAGAAACAGTCATCAGGTATTTTGGAGGCACTTCCTTTATTGTTGTTTTTAATGCTCACCCAAGGGTATTTTTCCATTGATGGTGAAGGAGAGAAGGGAGGGGTAGACAGAAAGAGAAAATATCAACGTGAGAAAGAAAGATGCATTGGTTGCCTCCTGCACAAGCCCCATCCGGGGCCAGAGATCGAGCCTGAACCGAGGTACTTGCCCTTGACCAGAATTGAACCTTGGACCCTACATGCCAGGCTGCAGCTCTACCCATTGTCAATGTGGCTAGGACTGCAGGTACTTATTCTAGACCATCTTTCATCCACAGGTCTTTGGGCCCTGGTGACTCTGGAAACCCAGCCATTATGGCCACCGTCTACGCAGGAAGTGGAAGGAAGAGGAAGACAGAAAGTGACAGCCTTAGACACTTTTTTGATGGAGCCTTTCCACAGCTTTTTATTATTTTTATTGATTGATGTTAGAAAGAAAGAGGAAGAGAGGGGAAAATAAAAACATTCATTTGCTGTTCCACTTATTTATGTATTCATCAGGTGATTCTTTTTTTTTGTCATTACTCCGCACCCAAGGTTATCTTTCTATTGATTGGACAGAGGGAGAGGGAGGAGGAGAGACAGAGAGAGGGAGAGGAACATCTACAAAAACAAAAGACAAACATCCCTAGGAATAGGGCTGAAGGCCAGACCCAGGCCTGAGCCCAGATTGACTCCACCCCAAAAGCTCTCGCTGTCCAGGGTCCTGGAGATGAGCTGCATTAGGACACAGGACAAGGCCTGGGGGATGTCAGTCCCTGTGGCCACAGGTCCTGGTGGGACAGGGTTCCCTGAAGGGACAAGGTCAGAGGATCAGTGAGGTAACCTGGCCGAGAAGCGACCATGTCAAAGCCCAGGATGCACTGAGCATGCTCCATCCTCACAGCTTCCCTTGTCTCCACCTGTGACTGGCTCAGCAACAAAAACATGTGATCCATGAAAGTTCTAGGTGCTTCCATTAATATCCTCTCAGATGTTCAGCCATCCTGTAATTAACCCATCAACCCTTCAGGGCAAGAAATGAACAAAGGCACATCCAGAATCTCATTTTAATAGGGAGCAGGAAGTTGCAGCTCAGAGCCCCAGGGAGTAAATACAGGGATGGGGAGGGCCCAGCCTGCCTCTGCTGACAGGACAGTGTGGAGAGCAAGGCGGGGGAGCCCCGCCGCCCCCATAGGATGTTCTTGAGTCAGGAGGTGGGAGCGTGAACACATCTTCCATCACTCAGTCCCCACAAGACAGCTGCCTCGCGCTGTGGAGGACAAGCATCATGAACAGATTCAGGTCAGTGGCTGTAACTGGTGACATTCACAAAGGCCACTTCATGCTCACAGTGTCCCACAGACTCCCCACCACCCAGTCCTCCCCTCTGCCCACTCCTTGCCAGGACAGGGTCTCACCTTTAGAAGCCGAGAGAACAAATCAGAGCCCTGGGCACTGTCATTGCCTGGGGGGGGACACACCAGGACGGGGTCAGAGACCCAGGGCAGGAGACTAAGGAGGAACTATGGGGGGTGGGGTACCCATGGCTCCTATCTGCACTGTCCCAGGGACTCAGGGGTCATCCCTCCATACTCATTGGCAGCCTGAGCGTAGCTCCCTCCTTTTCCACCTGTGGGGAGAAAACATCCCATGAGAGACCAGGGAGGAGTAAGGGACATGAGACGCTAAAGGAAGATCTAGTCCTGGGCCCCAGAGAAGTTTCCAGAACCGTGTGCATAGACCCAGGGCAGGATCAGGAAACCTGAGGGAAGTGCATGTGTGGGGATTGGACCCACCGCCCTCCTGGAGGTCTGTGCTCAGCAGGGACCTGCCCTCTGACCTGGGGCTGCTGGGCACGGAGTCCCCACCACCAGCATCATCAGGTGATAAGTGGGTCCCTCATTTTCCCACGGGCCTCACTACAGAGTAAGTGTGAGCACAGAGAGCCCCACACTGGCCATCACACGGGTGGGGATGGTGCTTCCCATGAATGAAGCGGGACACACATCTACCTGGGCTTGCGTCCCCAGTGGGACAGACACTCAGACCCCACCCCTGCCCCACCTGAGCGCCTCCTCCCCCACATCACAGCTCCAGCCACGGCTCCCAGCAGAACCAGGCCCCCAGCGATGCCCATGATGATGATGTTGAAGGTGTGAGAAGGTGGTTCTGGGAGGAGAAGGGAAGGGATGGTGAGGGCCCTGACCCCAGGCCTCAGCCCTAACCTCACTGAGATCCCCCAGGGCCCCTGCTGCCCTGAGAAGAGGCTCTGTGCCCACGGCCCCTACTCACCCCATCTCAGGGTCAGGGGCTCGGGCAGCCCCTCGTGCTGCACATGGCACGTGTATCTCTGCTCCTCTCCAGGGGGCACCCCCACGGC